CTTTTCCAGCTCCGACTCCAGACGTGCGATCCTTTCCATTAGGGCCGCCACTTGTACAGTTGTGGAATCCGTAATCTGCCCGTTGTATCGGGACTTGCCGCTTTCCTGATGGGGAATGCCTTTAACAAACGTTGGACAAATTGTTGGAGTTCGATTCTTTGGTTTTATTCTGGAATAATTTACAATATCTACTTAGCTCTTACATTTACTTAATTGGCTAACGTACCGCAGTTTTCTGTTCCCTCTTCTTGTGAAAGCCCAAATCGGTGTAATTGACTAGAAAATATTGTTTACCTTTTGACCCTATGCTATGTACGGTGAAGTCTTAGCTCCACCCAGCATGAGTTGCAGGTTTTTAAACTCGATACTGTAACTAATGGAACAAAGCCGGCCTCATTTGTATCTAATGCATTAGTTGGCAGATGAAGAAAAATTTATGTTGCCAAAAGGGACCGAAATTCCGCATCGCGACATTTATGTAGATAGATCATCCAAAGGTGGCTCTAAAGATGTGGATATCAACATATTGCAGCAAACATCCAGGATCCTAAGTTCCAATTTCTAAAGGTATTTAGTCAATCAGTAAGTAAACCTATTTTCAGTAAGACCCACTAGGACTAGGGCCAACTGTTTTTCAAGATAGAGCTAGGGACTTTTATAAAAATTTGTTTTTTAAGAAATTGGTTTTATAAAGAAATTATCATAACGATCAGCCAACTATAGCGGACGTCCCGCCCGTTATCAAGCCCTTACTATCCGTTACCCATGACCAACCACCAACCCCCCCACACACATATTTTCTATCTACACGCTATTTGGTTTTGTATATGTTAAGTACGTTAATTATTGTTGTTGAGACTAATAAAGCCATTAGGGCGTGGCGAATAAATGGGTTTGACCTTTAGATCAGATAATAAGCTATTTTCGGAGAAAAACGGACAGAAAATAAGATTAGCTGATTGAATATTGTATGCTAATTGACTTATCTGTCAATTTAGGCGGAGAATAAGTTGTTTGAAAAAATTCTGCGAGTAGATCGGCATTGCCCTGATCAGAGGTCGCAGATGAATTTTCAAACGTAAGCAGTGTTGGGAAAAGTACATTTTTACGCTTTGTGTTTACAAAATTATAAAACTGTTTCGGATCCTGAGTAAATTGTATCCGGCAGCGACGAATATAATTCCTGTAACATTCACCATTATGCACGGTAAAATTTGACCAAGCTAGTAGATATCTTAAGAAATCAATAGTACTGCAGGTTTTTTTTATATTTTAGTAATAGCCTATTTCTAGTATTTTTTAGGTTAGTGAGGCACCTTGTAAACCAAGGAGGATTTGTTGATGCGGACGGATATTTCCATGGCACACAGGAGTGAAAGAATGTATTAAGATGACATTAAGATCGGTGCATGCCAGAATATCGGACCAATCATATGTATCGATAAAGCTATTAAGTTTGTGAAAATCAGCTTTACGGAAAAAGCGAATCTTATTTGTCACACATAGAGGCATCTGATCGATACCAGAAATGGTTTCGATTGAGACCTCCAGCGTGAGGTAATATGGATCCTCTGGGGTTTAAAGCTCTGGAGAGAGCAGTACCATCAGGATCAGATACAAAGCATAAGTTTAAAAGCCGACCTAGCGAATTTCTAACATGGTTAATTTGATCTAGGGACATGTCAAACATGCCCGCGGTGAAGTCATGGTGAGTGATAAGTGACAAAGATGGTGAGTTTTCGACGTTGGACCACTTTAATTCTGGTATATTAAAGACGCCCACCGCGACGAGATGGTCACGATCAGTCATAGGATTAAAAACGTACCGAATAGCGGACAAATGCTGCCAATATGAGGGCGGTTCGGACGAAGGCGGTATATACGAACATGTAATGTATAAAGAATTCAAGGACAGAGTGATTTTAATTTAAATAAATTCAATGTGACCAAACTGTTGTGATTTCACCTCTTCAGAAGCAAGAGTAGAGTCTACCGAAATGAGGACTCCACCCCCCCTTCGCTGAGGTCGATCCCGTCTAAAAGTGGTGTACTTACTTGGAAAAACTTCGGAGCTAAAGATCTCCGGCTTTAACCAAGTTTCTGTAAAGGCTATAATATGGCATGCAAAGGAAGAACTATCAGAATATAGTTTAGGGAGTTTGCTACGGAGCCCCCTAGTGTTCTGATAGGTAAGTGTTATGTGACGATACTAGTTTTTTGGGTTAGTAGACAAGGAAGAGGTGGAAGGTTGGTCAGTGGTTCCGATATGGGGAAGTCTCACTCCCACTGGTTTTATAACTTTTTTGAAAGAAGACGTGCGCCGTATATAATTATATTTAAAGTTAGTTATGTCCTCCATCTTTATATCGGCTTTTGTTTTGGCTTTGATATACGCCGAGATATCAATCTCTGAAGTATCAGGGGCAAGCCGAGAAACAAATATATGATGGAGGAATCATCTGAAAGGGTTTTTGTGTCGCAGAACTGCAGCATCAGTCGGTGCCGGTAGTCCGGACTGTGGAATACCCTTTTGGGTGACTCTGACGGGGGTTTCATTTAATAGAACCTGTTGTATGACTTGAAGGGATACCACGGAGGACATATCAGACGATTGCTCATTTTCCTTGAAAAATTTGGGCGTCGAATTGTTCTCAGTTCTAGCTCTTGGGGTGGCTAAAGATATGAGCGATTGCGTTATTGACGGCTGAGCAGGCTGAGGCGGATCACAACCAGCGGAATTTTAACGCTTAGGGGACTCAGTTAGCAGCTGAAGGCCGCTAAACTGAGTGTCAAGCGCACGGAGCTGGTCATTGATTTTACGAAAACCAGTGATCAACTCTTTAAATCCATTATTAGTCTGTCTCATGAATGACCTCATTTCGTCTTGGACAGCACGAAAATTTTCACAACAATAATGTAAACCTAACCTACGAGAAATGGCATCCGAAACGGAGGCAGTGAACCAGGCACACTTGGCGTGTACGACTTTTTCACATAGCCAGCAATGGATGGTAGGCTGGGATGAGGAGATTGTCTTGATACAAGACTTCATAGAACAGACCAGTTTAAATTCCATATTATAAATTAACAATACAACAAGAAAGGAAAGCTAATTTCGGACGGAGCCGAAGTTGATATACCCTTAAAGTTAAAACCGGAAATATATCGCAAACATCGGATATAGTTGGCCGATCCTTTTGAGTGTATGATAATATAACCTAATTTATCATAATATAAAAGCTAAAAATAAGTCCCAAGCTTCTATCTTTAAAATTACCAAAGTTGGTATTTCCACCAAAAACCATTTCCGATCGTTCAGTTATATGGCAGCTATAAGATATAGTCAGCCGATCGTTATAAAATTTTGTAGGTCGGATTAACTGACCAAAAATATAATCTGTACCAAGTTCCAGCTTTCTTCAACAACACGAAAGTTGGGTCATTTCCGATCGTTCAGTTATATAGCAGCTATAGGATATAGTCCGCCGATCCTTACGAAATTTAGCATGTCCTATTATTTTGCCAAAAGTAGCTCTCTTGTGAACTGAACTCTTTAACTCTAAAAACACCAAAGTTATACCATTTCGAAATTAGCATGTCCTATTATTTTGCCAAAAGTAGCTCTCTTGTGAACTGAACTCTTTAACTCTAAAAACACCAAAGTTATACCATTTCCGATCAATAAGTTATATGGCAGCTATAGGATATTGTCGGCCGATCCCGGTCGTTCCGATTTATATACTGCGTGCAAAGAAGGGTGTGTGCAAAGTTTCAAGTCGATATCATTTCAAGAAATGATATCATTTGTGATACATAATATTGTTGTCTCGTTAATTCTGAATAAAACGAGACCAATTTCATTAAGAAATTATGAAAATTGTTGAAGTTATAACGCTTTTTCCAAAACAATAAATAAATGAAACAATTAAAGATCTATTTTTTTTTCAAAAGCTACAACATTTAACTATTAAAAAACGTCTAAAATTGTAAAATCGGTTTAAAATTACGCTCTTAGGAATTTTTACAAGCAAAAAAGTCCCGAAAAAAACCGTTTTTTCTAAATAAACCAAGATTTTATGGGTGTTAGAAAAATTTCAAACACGGTTTTATACTATACTCGACCTAATGAAAAATTCCTACTAGGTCTCTTCAAAAGTTCCTTCAATTTTTCTTTTTTTGTCGCACTTTGTAATCGATTGGCGAAGAAAACTCTGGCAGCTTTTCGAATATTAAAATTTTCAAATTTTTTCAAACACTTCAAAAACGCATAAAAACGCCTCTAGAATTATTTTTAGTTTCATCATGTTTAACCTGATTAACTTTATTTTTGGACATTATTGTGATATAACCCTTTTAAAATTCAAAAAAAAAATTGTCAAAAAAATTTTAAAAACTATTCCCTACTTAGAGCGTTCATGTCGTTCATATCAACGTAGTGTAAAATTGAGTACCATTTAGCTTCGTTTGAATATATTACATTGAAAATTTATTAGAATATATAATTTATGTTTATTATTTCATCGGCTATATAGTGGCTTCACGCGCACGCTGATGTTTGCGGGTTTTCAACCGTGGACTGCTATCCGAAGTTCGTTAAATATACCGTATAAAGTAATATCGAGTTGTTTCTGAAAAAAAAGCCAAATTGGTACATATTTGTCAACCGCATTTGCTCCTAAAATATCAAAAACTAATAACATTTATTTAATGAGATATCGACCTGTCAATTATGGCGTAGCGATAAACGCCTATTTTTGGGACCGTGAAAAATAATGAAAAAACTATCTCTTGTAAAATTTGCTTCTTGGTGCTTCCGATATTTTCCCAATTAGGGCTCGATATGTAAGTTACTATAATTTATTATAGTTATTATATAAAACCAAAAATATGTTCGTTCTTAAATTAGTTAACTTTTAAGAAAAAAATTTATTGTTATTAGGTTAAAAATAGAATATTAACATAACAAATAAAAAATAATAATAAGTTTGTTACCTTTTAAGCAGCTAGACGTCAAGAAATCATAAAAATAACGGAACAGTTGATAGAAGCTATAAACAGCGGCGATTTTGATGGATACACGTAAGTTCAAAAACGCATGAAAATATTTTTTTTTTCCAAAGCATTAAAAAATTTTATTCTTTTGGTTCGGCAGAGCCGAAAATGGACATGGGATCAGTGGATCATAGGACACATATCTGAAACGTTAAATATAGAAAATGTCATATCGCGATTCTTTTATCGCATTAAAAACCCAATTTCTTATACTAAAAACCCAATTTCTGATACTAAAAAAGTGCGAAGCATCTACCATTAAAAATAGCAAACTTTGGTTCATTCCAATCATTTTCTTATATGGCAGCTATTGGATGTAGTTGGAATATAGCTGATAGGTTAGGTTAGGTAAAAGCGGCGATGCGGGGGGCCAGTCCCTGATCTTCCGAATCCACTTGAGCCGCTGGGACTCCTCGTGATACCGCACCCCCTCCCATCTACTAAAGAAACCAAAGAACCCTGAGGCGGCTCGCGATCCCACCCAGCTTTCAGGATGAAGGCACTGAGTCCGTGTGAAGCGAACTCCGTGAAGTATGTTGGGTCCGTGAGTGTTGCTGCACCCAGGACTTCGAGTCGATGACGCCCAAACGTAAGGCAATAGCACAGTAGTTGTGTAACTGTCTCCTCCTCCTCTCCTTACAGCTACTAAAGTAATCGTAGTTTGGCACCACTAGTTTAGCCGCGTGCGTTCCTGTTAACCAGCATCCCGTGATGGCGAGGGAGATAAGGATCTCCCGTGAGGGAGATAAGGATCTCCCGTGAGGGAGATAAGCATCATTTATCATTATATCATGCGTGAATTCCTGCAGTTCTTGAGACTCCTCCATTTCCTGCATTTCAGCCTCCACGTCGTTAAGGGATTGCCTACTAAAGTCATTCATAAGGTCTGCGAAAGTCATTCATTGTCATAGAGTTGAATGAAAATACAAATAGTTTCTTGATTGCCAGCAAGAGCTTGTGATCTAAGTGCTTCCCTGATAGCTATTACTTCAGCTTGGAACGCACTACAGTGGTCGGGGAGTCTAAAAGACTCATTTAGACACAGCAGTGGAAACCGCCTCCCACCTGGCCATTCAACTTTGAACCATCTGTTTATATATTAAGGGAACCCACTGGTCCCGAGATTTGTCCCATCATTCCTCCCTCGATAGAATGGAGACATTATAGTTTGATCGACGGGTATACAATAGTGTGTAGCTCCCATAGGTGTGAAACAGTATAAGTCCAACATGGTGTGTCCATAGTTACCATTGAGGTAAGAGTTTCCCCTAATACAGTGCCGTTCAACTAAATAGGTTTGAAAAATCGTTCTTACACTTTTCACTATATCTTTGTTCCAATTTGTTTTTTTTTTCTATTTAATTTTTAATTTTATTCATTCATTTACTCATTATTTGCAAGAAAGGCAACGGTTATTTGCGGGAAAAAGGCAACGGTTATTCAGATTTTTGCTTTTATCTTGAAGTTCTGTAAATGAGCGCGCTTTTTTTGGCTTATCTGATTAGGTTTGAAAGCTTTGACTTCACTTTGTATTTAACTGCGGGATTGAAACGACTTGAATTCAATTGCATTGCAAAATTGTTATCATTGTTTATCAATATTTTGTAAAATGGGCGGTGCAAAACGGTTAACCGATTTTGAAAAAGGTCAAATAAAAGACTATATTGATATCGGCTTAAAACATAATGAAATAGCTAAGAAAATCGGCCGAAGTCAAAACGTTGTGAGTAATTTTATTCGTAATGAAGCAATTACTGACTCAAACTCCCACCTATCTCCGGTGGCAACGGTTAAGCGAATTATTAGAAGTACAAAACATTTAAAGAGACTAAAAATAAAAAAAAAACCACCTCTTAACGATGCTCCTAAGAGTGCACGACTTCGATTTGCAAAAGCGCACATGACGTGGAACAAGGAGTGGAAGACGGTGATCTTTTCCGACGAAAAGAAGTTCAATCTCGATGGACCCGATGGGTATAACTATTATTTCCACGATTTGAGAAGGAAGAGTGCTTTTTAAGTCGTCATCACACGTGTAAAGATGAAGTAATGGTGTGGGGAGCCATATCTTTTTATGAAACGTGCGAGCTGCTGTTTGTCACCTCAAAGATGAATGCAAAAGACTACAAGAATGTACTTCAAAACGCTTTTCCTCAAATTTCTGAGATTTATGGTCGTCTACATGACAACGCTCCCATCCATACCGCTCGGGTTGTAAAGCAATGGATTCAGGACCAAAACGTCAAATTGCTCGATTGGCCACCTTACTCCCCCGACATTAACATTATGGAAAACATGTGGGGACTTTTGTCCAGAAGAGTTTACGAAGATGGAAGACAATTTAGTGATTTCGAAACATTACTTAAAGCAATTAAAGAAGCCTTTGCAACAATTACACTAAATGAATTTGCAAAATATTATGATTCATTACCAAACCATATTTTTTAATTAATAAAGAACGTGGGTGGGCTTACCAAATACTAAATAATTCTAAAACAATGTATTTTATTTTTTAAGTTAGGCAGTACCTTGAAATGTTCCTTAATTTTAATAAATTTAATAGTTTTAGTGATCAAACCTATTTAGTTAACCCAAAAAAAATTGACATTTTTTGTTAGGTTTTTGAAAAAATTAATAAAAATAATATAAAAATAAAACTAACAGAACAGAAACTTTGCTATTTTATAAAAGACAGATTTTTGTATACATCGAAACTTATTTTGAGAAAATCGAAACTCTTGTTACAGAATTACAACGTTTCAAACCTTAACCAAATGTCAAACCTTTTCAGTTGAGCGGCACTGTGCTTGGACTAATAGCGGGGGTCAGCCCATGTTTGTAATATGTTTACAACCGGACTCGAATACAATTTTGTATGATGTTTTTTGAGGTTATGTCAGAACCCTGACGTGCTAGGTATTTTTTGGACCTCGGATTCGGATTCAGCGACCCCAAAAACATATAATAAACATGGTCTTACCCCCGGACTCGAATATAATTTCGTATGAGGTTTTTTGAGGTTATGTCAGAATCCTGACGTGCTAGGGTTTTTTGGACTGATTTTATTCAGCGACCCCGAAAACATATAGTAAACATGGTCTGACCTTCAGACCCGAAACAAAATTGTTTTTTTGTTGCTGTGTTATTGAACATGGCAGTGATTTTGTGAAAAAGAATCTCCGTGGATCTGCACTTTCTATACGCGTGCTTTGATCGCGAAATATCATTTGGGTTAATGGTAAGATAAACGTAAAAACTTATATGCCACTCCATTGTCATAAGGAAGAAGCCTACAGACTTATTGGTCTGAAGTCCTTAGGGGAGCAGAGTGTTAGTTTTCCCGCTTTGGGTATGAAAACAACCATCGTCCGCAGCCACGTCTCGTTCATATCTGTCATGATGATTGCTGTGAAGATTTTCCTGACCCTTAAGCACAGATTGCACCCGGCCTTGGTTAGTTGGGTCGAGAAGATGTCATCTGGCCTGAATATTTAAAGGGCTTGAAACTGTTTATCGCCCAGCTGAGATTCCTATTATTAGTATTTGAGATGGATCGGGAGGTGGGAGCTACCCCCCTGGCTCTGTGTTTCCTGGATTGTTTTCTCCTGAGAACACTCTGGAAAATTTAAGAGAGCCTCTACGGTTTCTTGGCTGGGCGTGGTCCAGCTAAAATTCGAGGTTTTATTGTATCCTATCTTTCTAAGTCGGGAGGCCTCTGATGTCCCCTGAATGCACGTGCAGAACTTGATTCAGGCAGTCCTCTTTGCCCTTTGTTCTTTGTTTTACTGTTTGATGTCCGCTTTATACGTCTCCCAAGCTACTTGTTCTGTACTTCTGTGCGACCACCATGGTGGTTTCTTTGACTGGCTACTGCCCAAAGTTCTTTTGGGACGGGCCCGGGCCCTATTGAATGCCCCGACGCAATCCGCCGTTAGCGTGCCCACCATGGTGTCCAGGACTTCCTTGTTGTTAACGTCCCTTGTTGGAGTTTCCCCCAAGGGTCGGTCTAGTTTCTTTCTGTAGAGCTCCTAGTTTGCCTTCCTAGGATTTCGCACTGCTAGTGAAGTTCTCGAAATTGGTCCGGAAGAAGTGCTTCTCTAGCAATCCCCATCTAACCACCCTGTCTGCTAGAGAGTCTAAGTCAAGGGTAATGTCAAGTACCTCCCCTCTGTTCTTGACGATGAAGGTGGGTTTCAAACCCCTGTTACCCACCAGAAGTTTTAAGTTTAGGATAAAATCTTAAATTGACTTACCCCTCTCGTTAGTGTCAGTGCTTTCCCACTGACGATGATGGGCGTTGGCATCGCACCCTTTAATCAGGTCGATCTTCTGCTTATCGCTGTCTTTCACCAGCTGTTTGAGTAGCGGGTGCGAGAAGATGGCATCCTGGGGATTGACAAGGATTGTCAGAAACATCCTTGAGATTCTCCACCACAGTAACCTCTGCTTCTGTCTCGAAGCTCAGTAGAGAGTCCTTCTCAATTGCGATCTCTTGCTCTTTCATATGGGAAATGCAAAGTCACATACGTGTGTTGCCCCCAGCATAGGCAAAAGCCAAATACAAGAACAATACAAAAGCCAAATACAAAACATTTCTACGCTTTGTTGTTTGTTGCCTCCGTTGTCGAGCTAAGAAATTACAATTGCTTAGTCTCTCAGTTTTTCGTATTAATGCGAAGGCACTTCATTTTTGTATTGCCAAAAACTTTTTACTGCAAAAAAGCCCTTTTTTTTTATTTTTGTATTTTATTTCTAAATTTTAATTCTTGCTTCATTAATATTTTTTTTCATTATAATTTTTTCTAATTTTTATTTTTTTTTTGAATATATTTTTTTTCCATTGAAAATGGTATTATAATTTTTTTCAGTATAATCCAATGCATTGATGTTTTTTTTGGTGTTGGAGTTTGCTCTGCCCTTGCGAACCATCTACGAGGAGGTTTATCTGCAAGATTGGTTACCACAACATTGGTTATCTGAGGTTACCAGTCCATCATGATATAGCCCGCTTGTCACAAAAAGCATGG